TTCTTTTGATAACGATAGCAGAAAATAGCTATCGAAACGTCAAGGTAATTTTTCAAATTAATTTCTCTACTAATTGGAATTTTCTCTTACAGCTTACAGCGAGCTTGATTACTTTTTGATCAATAATTCGTTCTTATTGCGAAATAGGAGCACTATTTATCAATCTGTAATAAAAGACGTGAGGAAATTCTGTCTTTTTTAAAGACAACAATTTTTGAGGCAAAATACCCAAAAAGAAGTTTGTAAAAAACCTCCACTTTTTTTCCTTTTAAATTATTGTTTTTAATCCCCGAATTATTGAGTAAGGTTTTGTTTAACTTCATTTAGCGGAAATCGTTTGCAAAACTTGTTATACTAAATAAAAGAATTAATTAAATTTTTGGCCCAACAGTATTGCAGGAAAATCCATTAACTCCTAGAATTTGTCAATTTCTAGAATACACTTTTTGAGTACCTGGTACGGCTTTCTTTTGTGGTTCTCAGTGGAGTTTTAATACAGTTTCTTGCAAAAAATAAAGAGTTTTGTACTGAAGCGTTGCCTCAATGCCCGATGTGTCTTTCAACCCTTAAGCTCAATCTTCTTTAAAGAAAAACTGCCTGCTTATGGGCTTATGTAAATATTGTGGTTGGTTTTCATCACTTTTCTGCAATTATTTATTTTTATTAAAATGTTTTTATGGCGGGATTTAATATTTTACGCTACTGGAGCTACCAGTATAGCCAGTGATGCTATACCAGGCGAAATACCCAAAAAAAAGTTTGTAAAAAAATGAATCCACCTCAACAATATAAAACTTATCTACAAATTAGTAAACCTGTTTACTTTGTCATCCGGTTTCTATCCATCATCCTCCGTCGCAATTCTACCATTAATTTTGTTAGTTTTGATTTGATATTTAGTTGCCTGTTCTCTAATCATCTTTTATTTAATATTTGCAATCCACTGTTCTATTGTGTTTTTTAACACTTTCTGGATCTTTCTTTGTGTCTATTTCTCTATTATTTTTGTTGGGCCCTGCCGCACCAATAAAATTGAAAACATTTATTTTCATTAGAGTTCCATTCTCAAATATTCGTTCGGGCTTCTCCGTCGAATTAATAGTATTTGCAGTACCTACGCCTGGGTAACACTGTGTTGAGTTGCGCTTTTGAGTTGTTGCCGCTCTCTGGGTTTTAACTCATCGGTTAATGAGTTATAACTCTTACCCTAAAAGATAACTTTATTTCGAGTTGGTCGCAAATTCAAAGGTAAAACGGGTATTCGAAAAAGGCGATAAAGAAGATCAAACGTCTGGATCCGAAAACGACGAGTTTTCTTGTTAAATCGATCTTGAATCGATTTCTCACTTCAATATGCTGCAGCCCCTACAGTTCCTTTCGACTTGATGGCTGTAAAATTCGTTGAGTTTCTCGTTTCGTTTGGTCCATAACGTTGTTTTTTGTTTTTCTCTTCGGTTGAATATTCTTTATTGCCGTTAAAGTTTCATCTTTTTCACTGTCTTCCTCATCCGTTGCAGTTCTACTATTATTAAAGTCTCTCACTTTTTGATTCAATGTTTTGATTTTATTGCCATCGTTTTTAGCTCTTTTTGTGTCTTCAGTTGCTTCGGATCAACGCATTTTGCAGTCAAGCGCTTCCAGAATATTTCCAAGTTGATTAATCCTCTATTGCCTCTTAACCCTTCCACTTTAACACCTTTTGCGTCTTCAATTGGAGCTGTGCGCTTGTTGTTCCCTTTGGATTAGTGATGAGTCTGAGTCAGCTACTCTCCTTCTAAATCCATTCATGTAGTAGCTAAAAATCCTGCATTGTTGCAGACTCCAAAGATTCCGGCACAGCCTCAAGTGAGGACGGTGACAGGCAGCCTCATTCCCGGCTAGCTCCGGATACACCTTCAGAATGGAGCGAGTCCAGGCCGGACAGTGGTCCAGACAGTCCGGAAATATACGAGCGTCCTCCACACCCGGCGTTCCTGCCGGCCAGATCCTCCGGAAGTCCCACTCAGATGAGTCAAAGTGTTCCTCCAAAGCCGCGGATTTGGAGCCTGGCCGATATGGCCTCTAAGGAAAGCAGTGATTGCTCCCCAGGCTCCACTCCTACTAGCATGTACTCGACGGCTTCTAGTAGAATGATGGCTCCACTGGGGAGCCGATTGCCGCCTCCAGGACTCCACACGGCGCCCTACGCACGTCCTCATGACTTCTACCGGAGTCTCTATGGGCCAGCAGCCGCCCAGCACCTTGTGGCCCAAGCTGGATCACCCGACTCCAGTCTACTGGAAACCTACCAGAGGACCTTGGCGGCTCAGCAGAATGCCATCAAAACAAGCCTGGCGAGTTCTTTGAGTTCCACCTCTGGCAATGTTGGAGGCGGACCTGCGAGCTTAAATATCTCCACATCATCAGGGAGCAGTGGAGTTCCTCTTGGTCTCACCACTCATTCTTCGCGGATGTCGCCCTCCTCCACCACGAGTTCTTTGAGTTCGGCCGGAGGCGCCGACAGCCCCATCAAGCCAGTGGCGTTGAACAAAGTTTGATAATCGCGCGTTCTCGTAATTTCAGTCTATCTACCTCTACGTTAAAGTTTGCAATTTAATTCACTTAATGGGGTGGAGTGTGCACTTGAAGGTCCTTTCACCGTGGAGGGTAAGTTCTTCTCCGTTTTCTTTTTGTTTTTGTTTTCGTTTTTATTCTCCGCTTTTTCGTGCGCACTCTCGCCGATGCTTTAATGCTAAAAAGACCAAAATGGACAATACTTAAATTTAAAAAGAAGAAACTAAACGGACGCCTTCACTTCTTTGACGTGCTGTACTGTATGTGATATATATTTATCTTGATTTGTTCCTTAGACTCTTCAAATGTTAGGCGCCCTTGTTGTACATAAGCGTAAAACCGTCCTGGCTTCCATCTCGATTTCTGCTCAATATCGGTATTATACCGGGTGTTTTGATTTTCACGGGAAATATATGTTGAACTTATGGCAGGAGGAAGTTTAGTTGCGTGGTCTGGACAATTTCCAATAGGAACACGTGCACTTTTGTTCTGTTTCAAAATTCCGGCCTTAGAATGCGAAAACCACTGGGTATAATACGTTTTTCAGAAGTTCGGAAAATTCGATCTCAACTGAGGAGTTTTGTACTGTAAAATAGCCAGATATGTGCAATAAAAGCTGTTGATTCAATGAAAGGAAATCGAGCCCGAAGCCACGATCTCGTGGATGTGCGACGCTTCCCATCTTCATAGCCATCAGTTATGGACTTTTTGTAAATATACTGCTGGTGTAAAGCGAGCAGTTGAAACGGTATTTTGTATTATTGTATCTATATGTACATGTAACTAATAATAAACAAATAGCTGTAGCTAAAACATAATGTATTAAACAAAAAGATAACGTCGCTATTATAGGTCATGTAACAATATTTAATATAAAATTAAATATGTGGAAATCTAGCTGCGAAGTCTGTGTAAGAAAAAATACCAAAAGCATTCGAGTCGTACTTGTCCGTGGTCCTTCTCTCCGTTAAGCACACGAGAAATTGTTTTGTTCGCGTAAAAACTTTTAGATTTGTGAACATATCGAATATTAATTATATAGACCAGTTGTTGAAGAAGAAAGTGAAACCAGTCGTGTGTAAAATAAGCTGCAATAAATATATCGAACATTATTTAAAATATTTGTCTGTGTTTCATTGGGGTTTGGTTGTGCGGTCTGGTCCATCAGTGGCCAAGAGGAATTCGAGGGCTCGGTTGACAAAATTTCCGATCTTCGGACCACCGCACTGAAACATCGTTTTAAAACGGCCTGACGATGTATCTTCTGAATCGTCTCGCGGACAAGACATTGCATTGTTTAATTTTTTCCTCGTCGTTCTGTTTTTGGCCTTGCAAAGCCATATAGATGTCATAATTATGGTAAGTCGCTAGTGAAAATATTTCAAGGTAAGTAAAGTCAAAGCCCTAGTGGATTGACCACAATCGCTTCACGCGACGGAAGGCAAGCAGTTTGTTTTCAAGCTGATAATTGTAGGTATAAATGTGTTTCAGTGTACAAATTACCTGTATACAGCGCAAGCCGCACAATCAAGCAAATCAAAGCCGAACGAGCATAATAAATATTAAAGGAAAGTACTGCAATAATTTAGTATCAAAGCGGTAAAACACTGGCAAAGGAACGCACAGATTCCTAATTCTGACGCCTCATAAAGCATCTCTCACCCGGCTAATTGGGCCGCATTTTCACGGTCTCAACCCAACATTGAGTTTGTTTTGTTTTTCAAGGAGATTTTGCGAAATTTACGTTAAATTTATATCATTTTTACACAAAAAGCTAAAATTTACGCGTGGGAATCAAGCCAATATCATTATCAATATGGCATAATCTAGCGATGAGAGAAATCGATTTTTTTATAGATACCTGTGGTGGTTATAAACCCAGCACAGGGGGGTAATGAATAAATCTACATGGTAGCTATCCAAGGAAAAGTTTTTATTAACTGAAAACATTTCGCGCAGTTTGCAATTAACCACTTGAACTTTATCCTGAAAATGGCGATTTTCCTTCCTTAAAGTTTGTGAATGTCTGAATGTATTTGATGCCATGTACAGCCTGACATCTGAGATTATTAATAACCTGAATGAAAGCAGAAAATGCTTGGCTATTTTCCTGGACTTTTCCTGGACCTCTCAAAGGCCTTTGACACTGTTCCTCATGATCAATTGATTAGTTTTTTGATACAATATGGTGTAAAAGGTCAGGGGATCGAGATTTTTCAGAGTTATTCAAGTAACAGAGAACAATATGTTAGTCAATAACCAAATAAGTTCTTCACTAAACATTAAGATGGGCATTCGACAGGGAACAATTTTGGGGCCCATTTTGTTTATAACCTATATTAATTCTCTGCTGGGGTTAAACTGAATGGCAAGATTGTATCATATGCTGATGACACAGCATTGATCTTTTGAGGGGTTTCGTGGGATGAGGTTAGAAGGAAAGCAATGGACGGGATGGATGTGATAAAACAATGGCTAGATTCACATAAATTATCACTAAATGTCACTAAAACCCATTTTATCCCGTTCAGTATAACAAAGGCTAATAAGCCACATTTTAGCCTGGTTAGCCAAATAAACCCAGACCTTGAAATTAATGCTGTATCAAAGGTAAAATATCTAGGAATCATAGTGGAGCAAAATTTGAAATGGATAGAACATGTACACTATTTGACAGGCAAAGTTCGAAGACTCATTCATAAGTTCTATGTTTTTCGAGATTTTTTGGACAGAAAACTACTCATACAAATATACAAATCGTTAGTAGAATCATTGCTTAGATATGGCCTTATAATATGGGGTGGAGCTTATGAATCTCATTTAAGACCATTAAAAGTTGTTCAAAATTATATTTTAAGAATAATTTACGGAAAGGACAAACTATATCCTACTAGAGAGTTGTATAACAAAGAAATATCAGTGCTATACATACATTCCGCATGCTCATTTACCCATAAGACCAAAAATACTCAAACATATGTAAAACATAACCACAACACAAGACAAATATCTAACAAGTTTCTTGCTCTACCTGAAAAAAA